GGTTATCTGTTTCGTGAACCCTTTTTCCTGAAGTTAAGATGCTTGCAACTGTTGCAGCTGAGTTTGAAATAAGTCGAAGGATGTTTTACATTATGCAACTCAAGTGCAACTAAAGTTGTGTGAAAGTTTCTCTGTGCAATTCAGCCTTTAAGGCCACTTCAGACAAAATGGGCAGGGGCTCGAGCCCATGTGCCATCAACCCCCCCTCCCAACCCATATGCCCATCTCCCCCCATGTCCCTGCACACCAGTGTTAGGAGATGATGTAATTCAGCATTAGTTGCTTTAGTCAGTTCACTTCTTCTCCCTGTTCTTTATTTCTGGCAATTCTCATTTTAATTATGCATTTTCAGTTGGGCAGATCTTTGCCCAGTTGGTAACAAAATGGACAAGCTGTAACTACTAAACAGGAAAAAAACAAAGAATTTTGTCCGAAGGCTGCTCTGTGTTTCACTGAAACCTGGTTCCAGACAGCACTCTAAAACTTCTCAGAAGGAAAGGTGTTGGAATCTGCTTTTATATCAATGAAGGTTGGAGTACTGATGTCACAGCGTTAACAAAATCATGCTGGCCAAATTATTGGAAATAATCTGTACAAAGAAAACTAAGGCAGAACATGATATTATGTGAGAAAAACGAACAAACAAAAAAGCTAAATGCTGAGACTGATCACAGTGTGCTCTGCCAGGGCACATTCACACATCTTTCTATGTAGAGAGAGAGAGAGAGAGAGAGAAAGAGCGTCATGCTTTATATGCTTTATTCTGTGATGAAATGACGAATAAAAAAGTCTCTGAAGCTGTAAAATTATCTGTAAGGTGAGATTGAGGAGGAAACATATCTTTGTTAACTGTAATTTTTCAACAAAACGCCCGAATGATGAACTGAGATCAGTTTTGTTTATGTGCAGCATATATGCAGCCAAAGAATTTTACTTAAATCAGTATATCTATGCTCCTGCAGTCCGATCTGATTACTGTTTAGGCCAAAACATCCTAAAAAAAACAAAGTGTAAACAAATCTGATTTGTGATTAGGACTAGTCAGTGGAAGAGCAGGTCAGAAAGTGGAATAGCAGAATGTCAGTCCTGTTTAATGGTTTTTGTTTGTGGTATCAAAACAGCCACTGGTCTATATTTATGTTTATCTGACTATATTTTGGAGAAACTTCATGATTGTGTTGTGTGAACGTGTCCTTATCAAAATACAGCTGCCCCTATTTAACAGGCTAGTAATCTTTCCAGGCCAACTATTCAATTATACTACAATTATATTATACAGACAACCTATGAAGTTAGTCATGCTTTAATTTTGTTCTGATCACTTCAGAAACATCATGTTCAGGTTTCAAACCCTGTTAGTTGAGCTGAACATGGAGGGAAGGATGCTGTAGATCATGGGATATTTGTGGTGCTCCATGTTCTGTGTGGTCATTACAGTGCCGTCAGGTGTGGCGCACAGATCCTGCCACATCTCCACATCCTGTGGTGGAGCTCCTCTGTACTTTAGACCTGCAGCCAGGTGAACGGTGGCTTTGTAAGGTGGGATGAACTGGAGCAGGAATGCAATCACAGCAATGATCCAGTCTAAAGGCACTGCTGGTAGAAAGTCAGCAAGAGTGCCTCCTGGTGGATACTGTATAAATGCATGTTCATAATTACTGAGCAATGCCAAGTTCTATCATTTCTGAACACGCAGACCAGCCCTCCACAACTTGAAAGTGTTTTCTGTACCGCCTTTTTCAAAAAAAAAACAAAAAAAAACAAAACAACAAATCTAGTCACTTATTTCTAAACATGGAGGCCGGATGGAGCCTTCAGTTTGTTTATTAGAGAGAATACCAGAAGGATGGCGGGGTCCACGGGGTCGCGGTAAAAGGAAAAGCAAAAAAAAAATACAGAAAAAACAAAGAACAGAACAAGGAGCAGCTGGAGAACCCGACTGGGAAAAACAAGCACAGGTGGAAACAGAAAGTGAAACAAAGATCACGAGAGGGCTAAAAAAACACACAGGTGATTTAAACAACAGGTGAAGGGAGGGAGCCAAGATCTTCCAAAACATAATCAAGGACCTCCTGTGACACACAGCTTACATACATTCATATGTTTTGTATTAAACCTTCTATTATGAAAATGCATTTAAATGTTCTATAATGTTCTATAATAATAAATGCAATTTATACTAATATTGTAAAAGATAAGTGCTTCTCTTTGAATGAGTGCTCGTTTTTAGATCTTTATATTTAAATTCATGTCCAGTCCTTCCCTAGACTAAAATACTAAATTATTAAAAATAGGAAGTACTAATAGTGATATAAAACACTGTCATTCTGTAACAAGGCAGAATAACTCAGGTGCTCGTGGGTAAAAAGAGAAAGCGAGGCTTTAATGTTAGAACCGTGGTCCAAAAACGTGGTCAGAGAACAGGCATGGGTCGAATCCAAAAATGACAAAAAACATAAAAAGACAAACATAATCTAGCAAACAGAATTCAAAGGGAAAAGGCAAAAAGGGCAAAGGTCAAAATACCAAAACACAGTCAGAATCGGAATAATCACAATAGACAGAAGAATAACGCTCAGGAGCTCTTGGAACAGGTAGCAATACCTCGTAATGAACTAGTCTAAAAAGCCCGGGCTTAAGAACAGGTGTAAGAAGTTAGTACTCAAGGGACAGAGAGTGGTGATTGGAGCGAGATGGAGGGCTGAGAATCATGCGATCCCCCTGGGGATTCTGGGAAGTGGAGTCCCTAGAGGCCTCTGAGCCTGAGGGATGCGTGACACATTCATAGACCAATTTCATTATAATGCACGCATCTGCTCAGCACAGGCACAACTTCTGCAAAATGATGACAACATAGCCGAGTTAAAATCAGACAGATAAGACATACAAAGACGAGGAAAAACAACAGACTTATTCAGCAGACTTAAAAGTCTAGCTATGCTTTGATGCCTGGATGCATTAAAGAAGATGTTTGTTTTGACATTTTGACAGAGTCAAATTTATCTTATGTAGAAAAAGAGCATCGTAAGTACCAAATTTACAGGCCACAGATAGCAGCATTATTAAACTGTGTTTCTGGTGTTGGATGGGTAAAGAATATGCAACTCTATCAGGGATGGGATCTCACTTTTGCATGTACTCCAGGTACATCTTTTGACCGCAGCTGGAGCTTCAAATTTAAACACTAGGACTCAGAGTGTAATGTTTTGATTGGCCATAATACAACGACAGCGCTCACAGAAAACTAAAATAATTTATTATTTTAAAAATAATCTGTCCCCGTTTGATTGGGTGGGCCTGTGATCATCACAGCATTGTTGTGGTTCTTGCAGCAGTAAAGAAGACTGCAGTCTGTGGTGTAGTAGACACTGAAGCAGTTCTGTAACTGATAAAGAAATACAGTGCCTCACAGTGGCAGCAGTTGGTATCACTATCCTTGCCTTCACTGTTTAGTACTGAGTGTTTATATTGTCTTTTGGAAGGAATAAGAAGGTAATCCTTGTTTAAACAGCTAGCAAAAATACAACCCCATTTCCAAAAATGTTGGGATGCTGTGCAAAATGTAAATAAAAACAAAATGCAATGACGTGCAAATCATTTAAAGCCTATATTTAATTGAAAATAGTACAAAGACAACAAATCAAATGCTGAAACTGAGAAATGTTATTGTTTTTTGAAAAATTCATTCATTTTGAATTTGATGCCAACAACATGTTCCAAAAAAGTTGGGACGGGAGCAACAAAAGGCTGGTAAATTTGTGTAATGCTAAAAAACACCTGGTGGTTAATTGATAACAGGTCAGTAACATGATTGGGTATAAAAAGAGCATCTCAGAGAGGCGGAGTCTTTCAGGAGTAAAGATGAGGAGGGGTTCACCACTCTGTGAAGACTGCACCATCAAATAGAGCAACAATTCAAGAATAACGTTTCTCAACATAAAATAGCAAAGAACTTCTGCTTTTCATCATCTACGGTTCATAACATCATTAAAAGATTCAGAGAATCTGGAGAAATCTCTGTATGTAAGGAACAAGGCCAAAAACCAGTATTTGCTGGCTGTGATCTTTGGGCCCTCAGGCAGCACTGCATTAAAAACAGACATGATTCTGTAGTGGAAATCACTGCATGGGCTCAGAAACACTTCTGAAAACCACTGTCTGAGAAAACAGTTCATCACTGCATCCACAAATGCAAGTTAAAACTCTAAAATGCAAAGAAGAAATCATATATAAAAAGGATCCAGAAATGCTGCCACCTTCTCTGGGCCCCAGCTCATTTTAAAAGCTGTAGTTTTCACTTTCTACAGCAGTGTTTCCTCAGCTCCCAAACCCTCACAGAGCGTTGTTAAAAGAAGAGGTGATGAAACACAGACATGCCCCCATCCCAACTTTTTCAGAATGTGTTGTGGGCATATATTTTTCAAAATGCAATAAAATTTCTCAGTTTCAACGTTTGTTATGTTGTCTTTGTATTATTTTCCTTTAAAAATATGGTTCAGATGATTTGCATCCTATTTTTATTTACATTCTGCACAGCGTCCCAACTATTCTGGAAATGGGGTTGTAATAATCCATTGTGACAATCATATATATATATAGTGACTGACTGAAGATCGGTTAGTTAATGTTTTGATTAAGAGACGACTAAAACATGACTGATACTGTATCAGCCGTCTACCGTGTGCTCTCAGTGAATGAGTGTGTAATTAATTTCCTGTGTGTACGCAGATCTTTTGGAAGCTGGTGAAGATTTAACTTGGTAGCCTAATTACATGTATATAATTGATAGAACAAGGCCAATGAACATTTTCAGAGGGTGCTAACGGGGCTGCTGAACAATTAACAGGGGTAGCTGGACTAGTAGATGGATGGATGGATGGATGGATGGATGGATGGATGGAACATTATTGCTCCCGAAAGAGAAATGGAACCAAATTAGCAGTTGCCTGAAACCACAGAGTTACTCATTACTACAGATTAATGAATAACTCTGTGGTTTGAGGCAACTGTGTAATGCTTTAGGCATGCAGTTAACACCATAGCCTTGTAGCTCTGTGCTAGAACTAAAGAAGCAAACTTCAGACACCAAGCTTGGCTGATCAAGTAAGGGGTAAACATATACATTAATGTATGTGGATCTTCTTTCACTAATTCAACACAACACGACTACTGGGTTTGTTTGTCAGTCTTTTATTAGGATGAAGGGATAAGTTCCTTCGTTCCTGGCCTAAAAAGGGCATGTAATGTGGTTAACAGAAATCTAAAGCTTGTCATATTCTGCTTAATTTAGTTAAAATGTGTACATTTCAGGGTTAAGGTCAAATCAAGGCTGAAGGGTTTTGCTGTAAATGAAGACATCATATGTATTTATTAGCAAGGGTACATTAGCCATTGACAAGAGCTGCTAAAGGCCGGATGTGTTCGCTTAGCGCTGGACGCGACGGGACCTGGGCGCAGGAGGCGGCACACTGAGGAATGTAGAACTGACACAGCAGATATCCAGTTCAGAATAATTCCTGCAGAAATCTTTCATCGACATCCTGGAGCAGAAAATAAACAAATAAATAAATAAATAAAAATGCATGCAGTGAAAATGTAGTGAGGTTTATTTGTTTAGCATCCACAGATCAGTTTCTCACTGTCATACCTACATAACTTAGTAGTTACGGGATAATTCATAGTACGTCCTGAATAATTACCACATAATTTAGTAGTTACTGAATAATCCACACTAATTACTGAAGTCTTAAGATTAAAACTGAATAATAAAATCCACAGTTTAAGCAGTGAATGATTATTATTAGTGTCATTACTTTAAAATGTAATTTGGAGTTAATGTCATCTGCCTACCAGAATTCTCCATCGTTTTTGTCTTCCAGCCATTTTTTGCGATCCTCCTCGCTCACTTTACCCCACAGAGGTGACCTGAACAAACCAGACAAATCAAATAAACACAAACAAACAACACTGCAGTCATTAGATGCCTGAATTGTCACACAGAACAAAACGTTCTGCTTCGTCATGCTGTCCTACAAATACAGTTACCAGACTGTACAATTCTATATATAATAAAAAAATCTGACAGTGTAATATAACTTAGCTGATGTGTTAGTAGATACTGAACAATTCATAGTAGATACTAAATAATTCATAGTAGATACTGAATAATTCATAGTATACACTGAATAATTTGTAATAGATTCTGAATAATTCTGAATATTTCTTAATAAATACTAAAAGTCATAGTAAATGCTGAAGAATTCATAGTAGATACTGAGTAATTCATAGTAATTACTGAATAATTCATAGTAGTTACTGAATAATTCAGTGCAGAAATTGAATGATAAGGCTTAATAAGGAATAATAACTGAATATTAAATGTGAAGTTTGAAAGGGTAACAATTATATTCTCACATATGTAATAATGGATTGTGAGATAAATAAAAATGTTAAATAGGAGCTCTTACTTGTCACTCCAGTCTCCGTTCCACTCCCCCTCCCCCCACGGGTTGAAGACTCGCACCAGTTTCACTTCTTTACGCTGAGTCTTCACCTGTTCACCAAACACCAGCACACTTTTTAGCAATGTTTCATTGCATTTTTCATGTTTATTGGATGCATCTATAAAGACAGTGGTATAAAAAGGTATTTGCCCCCTCCTGATTTCCTCTATTTTTGTATTTGATTGACCTCATGGTTTGAGATTTTTATACAAAATATAATGTCCAGAGAACACAAAGAAACACAAAGCTTTTTAAATGATCATTTTTTTTTCATTGAAGATGACAGTTTTGTATCAGATAACTGGTCAATAACTTAGTAACTGGTTTTGCCACCTTTAGCAGTAGAGGTGGATGATATGGGGTGATGTCATCAGACTTTAAGAAGTTTTGATGATACACAATATATTACGATGTATATTATATTACCATATATATTTTTTCTAATAAATTGGAGAAGATAAAGTAGTGCCACATTTGTATTCTATATTTCACATACTGCACTGCTTCCTAAAACTGGAGATCGGTCTTTTCCATAACTGTGGATGAAGTTTGACCCACTCTTCTTTGTGGAATTGCTTCAATTCAGCCACATTGGAGGGCGTTTGAGCTCAAACTGCCTGTTTAAGGTCCTGCCAGAGCATCTCACTGGGGTTCAAGTTAGGACTTTGACTTCTTTTGAACCATTTAGAGGGGGACATGCCCTTGTACTTCGTACTGTATAGCTGCATAACGCAATTGTGCTTGACCTTCAGATCACAGAATGATGTAACTGAACTCTTGTTTTCAGAAAAGTTCCACTTTTGACTCATCAGTCCACAGAACATTATTCCAAAAAGTGTTTTCAGGCCATAAAGGTGGTTTTAGTAAATGTGAGAAGAGTCTTTATGTTCTTTTTGGTCAGCAGTGGTTTTGGCCTTGCGACTCTCCTACTGATGCTATTTTTGCCCACCAGCTTCTTTCTAACGGTAGAATCATTAACACTGACCTTATCTGAGGTAAGCGAGGCCTGCAGTTCCTTAGATGTTCATCTGGGTACTTTTTCTTTCTGAATAAGTCGTAACTTTGCTCTTAAAGGAATTTTGGTAGGCCGGTCACTTCTGGGAAGATTCACCACTGCTCCAAGTTTTCTCCATTTGCAGATAAAGGCTCTGAACATTTGTGTTTCCTCAGGTTGTTTTTGTCTTATTAATTGTGAAACAATTAATTGTGACAAATTGTTGGACATTTACTTTATGGAACTGATTTCTTTTTTTTTTTCCAATTTCCCACAATTTAGAATAATAGTGACAACATAACACATGAATGGAATTGCTCCAATCACAAATATTGGTCTTCAGTCAACTACAGCCAGTTAAACCCCCCCATCAACAATACAGCTTTAACATATTAACAAAGACATGCATTCAAATAATTCACTTGTGACAAGGCACTAAGAGAAATTATAGAGATTATGTTATATTATGTAAATTATGAAATGATTGGGCTTTAACATTTGTACTCTGTATTTTATTAGTTGCCAAAGTTCAAAGTCAAAACTACCTCAATTATTTATTTATTTATTTTTTCTGTACATTTTGGAAATATATTCATAAATAGATGTCAACTACACTCTTTATTCTTGAACTTCATGCATTTCACATCTTTAGATTCAAATATCTAAAAAAGAAAACAAAAATCAGGGCTTTCAAATACACAAAGGGGGCTCATGATGGTATCAGTCACGCATTCAGATAAAACAATATAGAATGTAATGGACAAATTTAAACATGATCTGTAGGTCATGGTGAACAGCATGTTTGAAATTCAGCAGTGTGGATTGAACTGGGTCTCACCTTGGTGACTCCGGTGACGGCGTAGGCGTGGCCCTCCACTATGCCGTTGGGTAACACCGTGTTAGCAGAGGTTTCCTGAAAATACATCGAAATAAACAGAGTGTGTCTTCTGCCCAATCCAGACCTTCAGACCTATGACGTTCAGTCTGAGGGGCTTCAGACTTTATCTCATATCACTTCTGATCTGCGAGGCCGCAGAGCCGCAAGCTTATCTGAGCATTAACAAGAAGATAGTGGCGGCTGCGGCTGCTGCTGCCTGACACAGGGGAAGCATAGCTGGCGATAATCGAATGCACAGAAACTACCGTTTAGAGGCCAATATAAGACGATATTAAGTTATAAATAATGATAACATACAGTGTAGATTTTAATATATATACTACATACCAACAGGTATTTATAGATGTCTAATGTAATTAGAACAATAAGAAGTTCTGAAATGATAAACACACAGTTTCTAAGCAATCATTGGGCAGAAGAAAACATCCTGGACAGGTCGCCAGTCCAGCATAGGATGGACAAATGCATTCACACACATCTAGGGCCAATTTAGCATCTCCAATTCGACTGCATGGACGGCGGGAGCGAACCGGAGCACCTGGAGAACATGCAAACTCCAGACACAAAGGACCCTGGACGCCCAGCCCGGAAATCAAACCCAAGCCCTTCTTGCTCTGAGGCAACAGCTCTACCCACTGCACCACCTTGCCACCCAAAATATCCTCATTCGTGATGTTATGGTGATTTCTGTTCCTCATTCTCAACAAATCTAACACTGGCGATCTTCTTTTTTCCAGATGCTCAGCTTTCTCCTTATTTAAAACCTGTGAACAGGTTTAATTACACACTTACAAAAGTAAGTGCTTTACCGTTAGTGTCACATCTGCTGCCACCAGTTCCCCTCTATGCCAGCAGAGGTCTCCCTCACCTGTGGGTGACACCTGCACGTAATCAGAGAGTGTCTGTGGCGGATGTGAGCATGTGTTCTTTGCAAAGTCTTGATTGGAAACGCCCTGCAGATCTGAGCCGTGTTTTTCCAGTGTGTCTTCTGTGAGAACTGGGTCGTGGTTTTGGACTGTTTGCCTGATTTTTTGTGATGTGTTTACGGTTTTGACCCTGCCTGGAAAATCTAGCGACTCTGTCTCATGTTCAGTAAACCTGCACTTGATTTCTGATCTTTGTTGTGAAGTCGACTGTTATAGTGAGCCGTTAAATAAAAGAAATGAGTTTTATCGAGGCAGCGACCCTAATGCTAGTTTTTGAAACACTCCTGCAACACTGTGCAGGACTATTTAGATCAGTAGAACCATCAGAATTAAAAACTGATGGTTATCTTTCTAATATGAATGAATTGTTTCCGTTAGAGACCATTAATTTCCTGTAGGAAACCTTTAGATCCCATCAGAAGACCATCAGATACATCTGGAATCAGACCTAGAACACCTGTTAAACCATTAGAGTCCTTTACACTGTGATATGCCCTGTGATGAACTGGTGACCTGTCCAGGGTGTATCCTGCCTTCCGCCCAGTGACAGCTGGGACAGGCCCAGCACCCCACCGTGACCCAGAAGGATAAGCAGTTTAGATGATGTATGTATCTATGTATGTATACACTGTGATATCAACCAAACAGGACAAATGCAAAGTACCATTAGTGACTACTGGACACCACTAGGAACGAGCAGAACCTTTTAATGGTTTGTGTAATTTTGTTCAGCAGGGCAGGTTCTGTATTAGTACATCTGTGAAAGCCTACAGTCCAATAAATAACAGCTGACCGTCATATTCTAAAAGCACTGGTGACAATCTCAGACTCCCAGACGCCAGGTGTAATATCCACCCTTGACACCAGAGGGCAGCCTCACCTGAGTTTTGTATGCTGTCAAGGTTTGGATTATATTTTACTCTGTTTTGAGATTTTTGAACAGTGTTCTTGTTTAAAACATGAAAATGGATTCATTTTTGTGTTTTAAACAAAATTTCCAAAGAGTAAAAGGAACGAACCAGTTCTGATGGATAAAGCTGGCCCAGCTTGCTTTCATGAATGATATCAATCATTGAAATCTGTACATTTGCACATCAATTATGGAATACGTATATTAAAGGATTCTTGCCCATGTTTGCCTGTAATTTTCAGTTTTTTGGGAATGTTTCCCATTTCACTGTGGTCACCTTTTGCTGTGAAATAAAGATAATTTTACAGTCAAAATCTGCTGAATTTTAACCACGTTGGGTGACCAGCTAAACCAGCATGAGATCAGCACTAGACCAGCATGAAAGGTTAAGGTGAGGTAACTAATATTGTGACAGTGTGGCTCAGGCCATGTGTTAATAGGGTGGCCATCACATTGGTCATGTAGGCGTGTAACAACTGAAGAAACATAATTTTAGTTTTAAGTAGAATTCCTTTAAAAAAAGAAAATGCGTACATGTCCAGTTCAGTCCAGTTTTGGAACCGAAAGGAAAGGATGGGCTCTGATGGTTTCTCCAATGTTTTTAAATATAAATAGGTTTTGTTTTCTTACTGTCATTTAATAACCACTACATTGGGGCAGTACAGTAACTTGAAAATACAACAGAATGAATATTTTATGGTTTTACTTTTTACTTGGCTGCTCGTTACCAGATGCAGCTATGCTAGTACTGTTTAACATGCAGTCTGACCATTACATGGTACTGATGTGATTTCTCTGGTGACGAGTGGAGAAGTACGACACTAACCAGCTGCTGTTCTTTCCTCTGACTGAACCCAAACAGACGACACTCCAGTAAAGGTTTAGAACCACCCTGGTGCTGCTGTTTGATTTAAGGACCAAGACAAAGTGGTTACATGTAGCTAACGCTACTGTTATTAACATGAACGAATGCTATCACTATCCCATTACCACACCCCTGCAGCCCCCCCCCACCTCCTTCACCCAGTCCTAAATAACTGTTACGCCTTTGCCCTGCGGGGGCAGACTGGGAGGGGTTATCTGAGCATAATAGGGGGAGCCTGAATTACGCTGAAGCAACAAGGGACAGAACTGTGACCAATTATTCCTAAACTGTATCCCAAACTTGTGTTCATGGCAGCTCAAGTGTCATTAAAGCAAAACAGGAACATACTGTACAAAATACTAAAAAAATCTGAAAATTGGGTAAGATTGTACTTTTAGCTCAGATTGTTATGCTGATAATGTAATTTGTAATGAAAAGATTTTAATTAAATTAGGAATCAATGCAAAAAAGAACAATTTTCACTCATGCTCAGACTTTTGGACCCCACTACATGTGTGTATATATATATATATATGTGTGTGTGTTTAGATGCTTAAGAAAACCAATTTTTATTGTTCAGTTTACTATTTATAATTAACATTCATATTCATCATTTAAGTAGTATCAGATTTAACACCTACAGTAAATATACAAATATTTTTATTGAAAAATTAGTTTAAAAAAAGAACTGAACAATATATAGATAAACGTATGGTAAGTACACATAAATTTTAATAATTTTACAAATTATACTTTCTGTATGTACGTATAAATGTCCTATTGATTTGTTACAAAGTGGTTCTCAGTTCGAGTTCCAGTCCAGTCTTGAGGCCATCTACTCAACACCACAACTGAATTGTTGAATGAATAAATATATTTAAAAAAAGATTGTTTTTGGTTTGGTTCCAGGAAAGGCCCCTTAATTGGTTTAGAGCCTTAATTAATTTATTTATTTTAACCAAAACGTTTCTTCAAAGAACAGTTCAATGAAAAGTTTGTCACAGAATTATAAGCGGTTCTCTCAGGCATCACTCCCATGTTGGCTCCTCACGTCACAAATAAACAGTTCTACGACATCAGATCAACACCTGGAGTTTTGAGGTGCATATTTTCACACTCTACTGGCCTCGACACACCTGGTTCAACCCGTCCAGTAATTGTCTGACCTATTACGAGCCGTGAGAGGTGTGATGGAGGAGGGAACAGAGGTAAATTGTTCACGTCAGGTTCTTTTGAGAAACTTCTCTTTAAGGAGTGATCTGGATTTATTCCAATGACAATAAATTCCAAACAATACCTGAAATCAGCAGCTACCGAGGAGAACTCAAAACACTCACACACAGATGTGAGCTACTCCCATTAGTCAGGTCCATGCACTTTAGCACAGTTCACTGCTGATCACTCCTCTCACTTTGGAGCTTTAGCAGTTTATTTTAGACCACATTTAGTCCAAAAACAGAGGAACAGAGGTGTACAGGCTATGCTGGTAGAGGCTGGATGGATTAATGCCTTGATTAGCCTTGATACAATATGAAGGGTAGCGAGAGGCATGTGCACATGAAACGAAGAACATTACAACAGCAGCTGGGAAAAGAAAACGCTGATGTTAAATTTGACCTTCGGCTTCCTTCTGCGTTGTTCAGTGAATGCGCTGCCCGAGGACCTGATCTGTCAAAGGGAACGTGAATTTGAGGGGGAACTGAATTGGATACAACACCGGCGCCAAAGCAGAAGAACCCAGGGTGAATGGAAATTGATGGTGTCGACAACAAGCTACTCTGCTCACCAGTTTACAGGGCAGGACAGCGAGGTGAACTGTGATCTATTGCAGCTCCTCTGATGAACAATGTTACTTACATAAGCTCTGAGTTGTGCTGACATCGTGTGATGCAGCGCCGCCAACCCAAACAACACAAAAGGCCTGCAGGGCGAAGTGATACGTGCAGGGCGTTGTACGGAAAAAATAGTGCCCAAAAAGTGAATTTTTCGAATTTAGCAGTATTTTACCACTATTAGTGTGACATATAAAACCTTATAAGACACTTGTAAGTCTGCTGGTCATTTTGGACAGCAGATAAAATGGTGATATTTGTAGTATAGATATACAGACTTCTGTTTCCTAGAACTACAATTGTGAACAATTCTAACTCTAAATATCTCTAGAAACGTGCATTTCACACTAAACCCCTCTGAATGATTTTGTTTACAACTAAACAGTTCAATGATTAAGTCATTTTGCAAAATCAGTGGAGTTCCCCTGTAAAGTTCACTACACTGTTAGAAATAAAGGTTCTGTTCAGGTACATTTTTCGTTCATCAAGGTACAAACAGTGTAAATGTTCCCTCAAAGCTCCAACAGTGGTTTTAAGGTCTGATTGTGAACCTTAAATAAGTGTTTCCAGGTGAAAAGTTCGTATTTGTACCTTTTCATAACCGAATGTTTTAAACAGAACAGTAAAATAAAGTCCTGGAGACGAGACGGGGTGTGTGGAGTCAGTACAGCTTAGAACATATCATTTCAGTGGATTATGGTTCAGTTATGTTCCCTGACTAAAGGTACTGAGATGCAAAAGGATTTTAGTCTAAAGTCCAAGATCAGTTAAAAGTCCCAAATGTGTTTCAGCTCTGAGTTTAAACCACATATCCATAAATCTGTTTTAACACAGTGTCTGAATCATTTTTCCCTCTTTATCTATTTCACTTTTTAAACATTTGTTTTACATTTTGTTCAAAGTCAAATGTGTGCAATTTTCAAGTGGACTAATGCACTGGAATCCTACTAAGTACACTCTCATAAAAGATGGTTCTTCAAGGATTCTTTAGTCAAGAAAATTGTTCTATATAGAACCAGGAACACTCAAAGAACATTTTGCATAAAAAAATTATTCTTTGCATGGCGAAATCGTTCTTCATACTGATGGAGAGCGTGCTGCAGACGGTTCTATATAGAACCTTTTTGAAAATGATTCCATTTAGCAAAAAGGGTTTGTCTGTTGTTATGATGTCAAGCTTGTAATAATAGAACACATTAACGACTTCGATGCAGCAACCGCAAAGTTTACCCACCCAATTTAAGCTCACAGCATTTTGTGAAGGACCTGCTGCCTTTGTTTCCCAACAAGTGGACAAGCTTGTACTGGACTAGCTACACTGTGCAAGATCTGCAGCCTTTGACGAACGTTAAGGTCGAAAAGCCATTGGTCATCAAATTGGTGACTGGTTTGCAGCCAACAAGACGTCAAGAAAGCAGGTATCTTACAGAAAACATTGAACAGTGCATTCAGTGAGTATTACTGACTTAAAGGCTGAGGTAGAGAATAATTCATTTAGTTTATGAGTAGCAGTGATTTCGGGCTGGTAATAAATGGGTAGAAAGAGGTTCTATTGAAAAAGAGTAGCGGCCTATTTATTAAAAAAAAAAACAAATGAACATGAACTAGTTTATTTTTGGAACTGTGAACTGGAACTAGTTTATTTTCATTAGTATGAACTGAACTTTGAACTGCAGGGAGATTCACTCGAAAGAGGCCCTGAATATTCTGTTGTAACTCACACTATGATGAAGCAATCTGAACCAAAAATACGCTACATACCTTGACGTACGTGTAATTAGTTGCATCACATGCGATGCTGGAAGTGATGAAGGGGTACGGGGGGTCTGCCACCAGCTGTCTGGCGCCTACCTCATCACTCCGATGCAGGGGCATCCTGGCTTGTTTGAAGCTACATACACTGAAGAGCACATTGCACGTTGTTTCGTTCTGATTGCTTCATCCTAGCGAGAGTTATTACAGAATATTCGGGGCCTCTTTCGAGTGAATCTCCCTGTAGTTCATTTTCAGTGTGAACTGGCACAATACTGAAAGAAATGGCTCTATATAGGTGCTAAAGAACCCTTGATGCACAGTGTAGCATGAACAAAAGATGCTTTTTGAGCTGCTACTTTTGTACTTCTACTCATTACTCCTCATTACTTTTTCAGTAATGACACTGGTACTCGAGTTCTGCCCGCATGGCACAACCTCTCACCTAACTGGCGAAACGCTGGCTCATCTCTCAGAGCCTTTTTAGTGTGAGTCTGTTTTTTTTGGCTGGTCTCTCTGCCACAGGCTGAGTGCTGAGATCAGTATCACCTTCACATCCTGTTTAGACATGCTGAGCTTGTTAGTGTGGGCAGTGAGAATGGAGGGTGTGGTGGGCGGTTTTACCCCCTGAGGAGTTCCACAGCCCATCAGGGCTTTGGTCTGAGCTGCCATGTCCATCAGCTCCCACAGATCACTCGGAGCTTCGCTCAGGAAGTAGGTCTTGTACGCCCCCCCGGTGAAATCCCTCAGAGCGTTAAAAATGTACCCTCCTTGCATGGCTTTATAGGAACCGCATACTCTGGGGAAAAAAGAGCGTTAAGATTATCACTGAGGATGTTTTCTGTGCCAGTTAGTTACTTAATGTCAACAAGGACGAACATATCAAACACTGGAAACTCTATACAGGAGGTAAAGAGCAAAATCAGACAGAACCCTTCATTTATTTCCAGTCAAAACTGTCCAGTAAGCTATTCATTTTTCAGGAGAGGTTTCTGAGGAGAGGAGATTTATGGGTAACGCTTTATTTTGAGTGTCCTTTTTAGATGAAATAATCACTCCTCAGACTCTCAGTAACATCAACAACATATCAGCGATGTAGCGGCAGTGAAGACATTCAGTAGATTATCAAGAGACTTTTAGTACATACATACATACATCATCTAAACCGCTTATCCTTCTGGGTCACGGTGGGGTGCTGGAGCCTATCCCAGCTGTCATTGGGCGGAAAGCAGGATAGACTTTTAATTAACTGTGTAAATAAAATGTGTTTATAATCTGCTGAATTCGGCTGTTTTTCACTGTATTTGTGTCCAAGTTCAGCTCTGTAGATGTTTAACCGAGAGGAACTGAACAAGAACAGGTTTAATACAGACCATCAACATCTTCAACAAGCTGATACAGACACACTGACACCATCCTGTACCTGGAGCTTCACTGGATTAGGGTTTGGTTAAGGATTAGGGTTAGGATTAGGGCCAGGGTGAGGGTTAGGATTAGGTTTTATCTACAAAGCACCAATCAAAATAAGTGTTACCAATATATGGCCAACTTACATAAAGAAGGAGAAAGTCAAAAGAAACTAAGTGAAAAAACAGGAGTTTTAAAAACTGGAGCTCAAAAATGATTAAAAGCTACAGAGAAAATGAAACTCCTAACAACCACCTGGAAGACCTGGTAGACACCAACACTGTCCCCATTCCTCCCCTATTAAATCAGCCCTGTGTGTCTCGAGGCAGATTTAACAGAGCGCTTAAGTTCATCTCCGGTTCAGGTTAAGTTTACATTTTATATTCTATCCAGCTGTACAGCTGACTAACAAACAAACTCACCGCTTATGAGCTTAACGGTATGCTAGGCTAGTAACGTTAGCTGAGGTGAAATGTGACTAGGCTAGAACACCAGCTGGAGAGAAAAGATGATCAGCACCTTAAATTGATTGCATTCTTGCAGTAAATTTAACAGTTTCTCTCTCCTTCAAACTTACATCTATATTCCTCGTCCTCAGCTCTCTCTCACCCCCTCCCCCCCGGTTCTCCCTCTCCCCGCGGCTAACCCCGCCGTACAGTAAGAGTGACTGAGAACAACCCAGTGAGAAACAACCACCTCAAAACAGGAAGTATTTCCCAAACACGCTACAGTATAATATAGGAAGTTGGCCCCAGAGCACACACACAAGTGAAAGTGTCTCTCTCTCTCTCTCTCTCTCTCTCTCCATATATATATGTATGTATGTATGTATATATAAATATATACTTGTTATTGGAAAAAAAACTTATCTCCAAAATGGTAACTTTACGGGAGAAGAAAAAAACGTACTTTAATTTTAATGTAAGTCAATGGAACCAGAATTTTTTCCAAGTCATTTTTGGTCGTTTCTTTTAGTCCATTCATCATGAAATTTACACACAAAGTAAAAAGCATTTTCTAATTATGTAAAAAAAACTGAGAAACGTCAAAAATGGAGATATTAGGTTTTCTTCCGACAGCAGTGAAATAGATCATTGTAGATAATGATATAATAATAAATGAATAACTGTATAGGGGAAGAAAAAAACCTATATATATATATACATATATATGTATAGCTGTTGTCAGAAGAAAACTTAGTATCTCCATTTTTGTCATTTTTCAGTTTTTAACATAATTTGAAAATACCTGTTGCCGTTTACACTGTGTGTAAATTTCATGATGAATGGCCTAAAAGAAACGACCAAAAATGACTTGGAAAAAATTCTGGTTCCATTGACTTACATATGTATATATATATATATATATATATATATATGTGTGTGTGTGTGTGTGTGTGTGTGTGTGTGTGTGTGTGTGTGTTACATTTTATTTTTTAGGTTTTTTAAAAATGTATTACATTTCTTTATTTATTTGTCTCTAAAACATGTGGTGTCATCTATAGATGGCATATTGATATCAAAAGGCTGATATGATCAGAAAATGCTGGATGGGAGGTTAATAAATACACGAATGTGATCTGATACTGTGACAGATCTATCCTGAAACAGCTCTCACTCACACTGTGGTGTTATTAGCTGTGTTGACTTTGGGATTTAGAAGCTTAGTAGCTTTTAAAGAAAATTTAACTCAACATGAACACAACGTCTCTAATGTTGTCCAGAGGAAGTGAGGAGACCTACTTGGCGTACTCTTTCTCCAGCAGGGCGGGCCAGAATTCATTGCAAGTTTTGCAGTTCAAAAAAATCAGTTTTCCATCAACAGTCGGCAGTTTGTCGTCTATCACGACATCGACCCACTTTCCAGACCTCCAGAACTGTGGGGCGGAAATGAGAATCAAACTAATCACAGTGGGAATAGAAAACAGAAGCCAAAGAAGAAAAATGAAGTTTCTTGGGGAAACTAGAGGTTACATTCCACAAAAACTCACTCATGGATATCAGTGAAAAAATACACACAGCACAAATGTGCACTAAATTCATGTAACCCTGCAAAATTTCTACAAATTTTCTTTTAAACTTTGTATTTGACTTTGTAAAGTTGATCCATGTGAGGTTGTAAACTGCTTCTTAAAAGTTGAGTTTAATGGTTTAGAAAGTGCTAATATTGATATGAATATTCTGTAATTCTAAAATTCTAACTGGGTGTAAATTCAACCAATATTTAATCTGCAGATTTTGTATTAATAAATCCCTGCCACAGGTTAATTTACTTTTTTACGCCAGAGAATCTTTAAAAAGATACATTTTCTGTTAGTTTTCAATTTCTTTTTTATGTAGAGTTCTGATGGAAATAGTATGAATCATTTTTGGTAAAATACATCAATAAGCAGGTGTTAAAATTGATTTTATGTTTTGAAGCCATTTTGAACTTGTGACATTACATATTGCATTAAAATTTCATGTTGTTGTATATACAATGAAAAAATTCAGCTCAGTCTAATTAGATATTCTGTGAGCATTTATTTTACTCATATTCTAAGCGTTTATTTATTTCTATTAAATAGGCATTAATTTTATTTATACTCTATAAGCATTTTTTAATTCTATAAGCATTTTGTATTTTTTATTTACACTCTAATATGAGCAAATAAAAAATCATAACCAAAAATGTCTTTATGGCACAATTTTTACATCAAAAAGAAGTTGTTACTTGAATTATTTAATTTTTGTGATGTTGCCTGTGTGGTCTCAGGTGATGTGAAGTAATCCTATATTTCATGTTAAATGCAGTACATCGTATGTAATGATGTATATGAATACTCCACTATACAGAACGAGTGTGAAACCATGGGTTAATGTACTTGCCCTCGTAAACAGAACAGGACTGATGTACTTGCCCTGAATCGAAACATTCCTGCATAATCCTTCCCAAACGACTGATCTCCTGGAACCACCCGATCCATGATCTCCTTCTGGAATGTGATGGCAGCGACCGCAGCTAGAAACCAGCAGTTTCCTAGAAAAAAAATAAATAAATAAATTAAAAAACAGAAAAAATGTACTATAAAACTTAAATGTATTTTAGGCACTTTGTTTATTTTATTTTTAATTAACTACAGTACATTTCTGATTAATCTGTGCTTAAAAAACCCAAAACTGAGGCCTGTTAAATGCATATGGGGGGAATATAGAGTCCTCTGATTGTTTACTTTGGGGGTCTTAGTTGTAACAGTGTGTTAAACCAACCCCCCCCGTGTGGATTCTATACCTTAGCCAGTCAGGACTACATTACAGACACAGAGAGTGACATAACCGGCTGAGTTTATGGACAGTTTTTTGGGAGCACTAGTTGGTGTTGAGAGATCACTTAGAGTCTCCTGAACAATTACGGGAGCCTTTTCTCACAGTTGGCAGCTCAAGAGTGAATCCAGTGAATCCAGTGATTTGATACAACACACACAATTTCACTAAATAATTAAAGCTATCAATAATAATCTAGATAAACAAGTATTCAGTCAGGACATATAGTTCCTGTAGAGTGTGGTATTGCTGCTAAGCAGTCATGGGCTTCTGAATGTGAAGAGGAACGTTCATTGTCTCATCACTGTATATTGCCCTGAGCTTGTCGTAATATAGCACTGTTTAATGCCAAAACCTTCACTTTATAAGTACATTTTGGTCACAGAAATTACCACCGTGATGACAGTCTTAATTACCGTTAGCGCCTCTATGGGATTTCCAGTCTTATTAAGGCAAGGCAAGTTTATTTATATAGCACCTTTCAAACACTGCTGTCATTCAAAGTGCTTTACAAATGAGAAAATTCAGAGTCAGATTTGTTTAAAAATAGTAAAGTAAGCACAAATAGAAAAACATAAAAACAACATTAAAAACAGTTAAAACATGATTAAAACAATACATTTAAAATTATTATTATTAAATTAAAAATCAATTTAGAAATTAAATTAGAATAGAATTTTAATCAAATTAAAAACTTAAAGTCAGATTAGGATTGAAAAAAGTGTTACAGAGGAAAAAGGGGCTAGAAATGCTAACAGTGTTTAAACTGAGCTGAAAGCTGCTCAGACAGGATCGTTTTCAGGCTGATTTAAAGTGTCCAGTGTCGGGACTCTTCTAATGCTCTCTGTCCACTGCGTCCATTTAAGAGCAGCATAGTATCTAAACACTGCTTCTCCATGTTTAGTCTTCACCTTCGGCAGGACTGACTGACCAGTTCCTAATGATCTGAGAGTTCAGCTCGGCTCATATCGCTGCAGCAGGTCAGATAAATACGCTGCTCCTGCACCATTCAGACATTTATAGAGCAGTAACAGCTCCTTAAAGTCTATTCTGGAACAGACTGGTAGCGTAAGGATCTAAGAATTGGGGGGTCTTCTTTTACTCCTAGTGAGACTCTGGCAGCTGCATTCTGAACCATCTGAAGCTGTTTGATGGTCTTTTTTTAGGGTCCAGTTAGGAGACCATTACAGTGATCAATCCTGTTAAACATAAAGGTGTGGATGAGTTTATCCAGGTCTGCTTTTGTCACAACAACTCTGATCTTGCTGATGTTCTTTGATAAAAAGCTGATTTAGTATTTAGCACCAAGCTAACAGTGCTGTTTGCCCATCTTCCCACACTCCCATCATAGTGCACTACATAGGAATTAAAATGCTGCCTCCTGCATCCAAATAAAATTTTTTAGAGTCAAAGTTGCTTCTTTTGGGTTTGTTGCCACAGACCTGGTTGCATGTTTCTCTTGTGAGATCTGGCCATAGTATACTCCATGCTTCAGTTCAAGCCTGTGATATTAAAGGAAGAGTTGTTTAGCCTGTTAGCTAGCTGACCAGCTTCATTGTAGTTAAGAAAATAAGTCATCTGCCCCTCAGTTTAACCCCTTAACTAGTCAGGGCCCAAATTTTATTGCACACTTTTACAACCTAAGAATAACTCAGTCAGTTTGCATTGAAGTCCCTGTAGTTACTGAATAATAAGCCTTAGTATATAGTAAGCCTGGGATTTTTAATGGTGTAAACAAAACTGGGTTCTTACTTCATGTGTACACTTAGTACTCAGTGCAAAGATTAAAGCAATCCATTAAAGCACAAGGAATTTTCTTGATTTGGTGCAATAAAATAGAATTCATTTGTTGTGAGGTGCTCAGAACTGGGTGCAAATTTAGTATTTTACAATGGTTTTGAATGTGGCTCAACAGAACTATGCATTTCATTAAATTGGCTTCAGTCTGTCCTTTTATGATTCAAAGTGTTCTAAACCCCAAAAAGGGGATTCTCTAAAAGTTATTTAGTAAAAACTATGGTTATATACAGCCTCATCTTGATGTAGTTTCATGATAGTGACAACGTATTGCCCACTCTTAACCCTCTGGGGTCATTTGAGGTCATTCTCTCGATTTGTGCGTATCTTCTTAAATCCTCCTTTAATTTAAGAAGATTCATATACTATATAACATGAGCCTCATATGTTTCATATCTAAATGCTCCGTTATCTTCATCACTACTTTCCAAACCCGCTGCAGCAGCTTCAGCAGCTGTAAACTCTCTGCACGCCGTTTCACATGAGTCTCCGATGTGGACCGAATGAAGAATGAAGGGTTTCCGGCGTGATGGTCAGTGCTTAGTGATTTCCTGAGTGTCCATTGGTCAGTTTCACACAGAATGTAGAGGGACACACCAAGCCACCAGTTCCACACAGTGAGAGGCAGATGACGTGTATCTCAGCCCCTCTTCATAGGCTCATAACTCCGGACTTAAACCTCAGAGACTCGACTCAGACTCTCACCTCAGAGACTCGAGACTTGACTCAGACGTTCACTTCAGAGACTCGAGACTCGACTTGTACTCGGACCTCATAGACTCAAGTCTCGACTCTCACTCTCCCCTCCCCTCAGAGACTCGCCTTGGACTTTCACCTCAAAGACTCGAGACTCGTCTTGAACTTTCACCGCAGAGACTCAAGTCTTGACTCAGACCTCCCCTTCAGAGTCTCGCCTTGGACTTTCACCTCAAGGACTCGAGACTCGACTCAGACTCTCACCTCAGAGAATCGAGACTCAACTCGAACTCTCACCTCAGAGACTCAAGTCTCGACTCAGACTCTCACCTCAGTAACTCAAGACTTGACTCAGACTTCCACCTCAGAGACCCGAGACTTGACTCAGACTTTAACCTCAGAGACTCGAGACTCAGACTCGGACTTACACCTCAGATACTCAACGCGGACTCACACCTCAGAAACTCAAGTCTCAATTTTGACTCTCCCCTCAGAGACTGGCCTTGGACTCACACGTCAGAGACTTGAGACTCGACTCAGACTCTCACCTCAGAGACTCGACTCAGATTCTCACCTTAGAGACATGAGACTTGATTCAGACTTTAACCTCAGAGACTCGAGACTCGACTTGGACTTACACCTTAGAGACTCCATTAGGACTCACATCTCACTTTCACACAGAATGTAGACGGACACACGAATCCACCAGCTCCACACGGTGAGAGGCAGATGACGTGTATCTCAGCCCCTCTTCATAGGCTCATAACTCCGGATGTGAGTCTCGTATGATCTCGTGATAAGATGGAACGGAAAGGGCGACTCTACAGATTCAGGAAGTGTTTAAACCGGATTTCTGAGCTGGATCATCACAAAGATACAGACACAGATACAGAAACTGGATTTGGCATGTGGGTGAGCTCATGGACCCGAGAGGGTTAAAGACCAGTGCATGAAAAATCAAGTTACCAAGTTCTCCTTGAGCGAAGTCAAACCTGGACTCGCCATCTACGATTAGACAGGGGTCTTCCACCAGTTCCTGACAGAAGAAGAGAGAAGAAGTCACAGAAGTGTCAAATATGAGTTTAGACACAGACCAGTTTTGTACTTGTTGCTTCTTAAAAGGGGAACCGCACTGAATTGTCTCAATTTCTGCATAATTGAATGGTTAGAATGTGAGGTCTGAGTGGTTGTATGTCAAACTCTCCCTTCTAGAGAAACTTACTGAGTCAGAATTGCTCACAGTGGTGGTGATAGGAACCAGACGTCCACCTCTAAAAGCTCCCTCACAGAAAGTTCCTACATGAAATGGTTATGAATTCACTGCCTGATGACTGAGACACTGTTTTATGATAGTTTAGAGAACTTAAACTCCATTCATGGTGGAGGGATACATGCAGGGCGCTGTGAGGCAAAATAGTCCCCAAAGGAAACGTATTATTTCAGATTTTCCACTATTTTCCATCATCAACATTCCATATAAACTCAGAAGACTCGTGTAGGTTCACTGGTGGTTCTGGATAGTAAATAAAATGTCTATATTTGTGTTGTAGTCATGGTGACCCCTGGTTCCCATCACCACAACCATTTCATACCAAACCACTCTGAATCACTCTGATTACATCTCAACCACTGAACTATTTAGAAATGTTAAAAATATCCTTTTAATAAGCTTTTCTGCTTCTGTATGTGAAGAACAGTCTGAACAGTGTTAGCTTTAGTGAAGAAGGTCTACAGCTGCAGGTTTAAACTCGCTCAGCGTCTCATTAGAGGGACTGAAGTGATGCGTCGTGAAGGCATGTTGGAATATGTGTCTGTACAAGTAGAGCTGATCACTGATCTAAGCTCTCAGCACAACAAAGGCCAAGTTAAGACTCTAGTTTTCTAGAAGAATGAAGAGCTTTTTACTTTCACACATAATTCACACAGTTCATTCTCAAATGTGATACATTTTTCCAACACTACTTCTATAACTTGGTGGCCTTCTAATTAGAGTCTCCAGTGAACATTATATATAATTTTAATATAAATGAAGGGTTTTATTGAAAAACATATTATAGACAACTTTCATGTTCTTTTTTCATGATGTACATTGTAGAAATGGACTTTACACAATTAATATCAGTGCTATACGATGTTTAATTGCACCAAAATGTGTTTTCCCATTGTACATCAGCTGTTTTTTTTAAAAAAAACTTATCATATTCAACACTGCTGCAGATATACAGCATTTTGGAATTAAACCTTTCAAATTAGAAGATTATAATTAATTTATTTCAGAGTCATAGAAATTGTCTAGAAAGAGCAGATTCAAGGTTCATTTGTTTGAATTTTGGATATAATGATCCTTTGAAAAGAATACCAGCTGAAATTTAATAGAAAAAAATTGTGCTATTAATCATAATTTAGCACTGGTAGTTCTTGTATGTGTAAAGCCTATGTTTGGTGAAAATAAGTTAGCACATCCTCTATAGGAATCAAACTCAGATACGCCATTTTTCTGCATGTTTTAGTGCACAATTTCTATTTCATTGTTGAGTTTAACATTTAACATTTAAAATAAAACATAAAATATAAAATATAAATAAATATAACTATAAAAAAGCCAGATTTTATTTTATCTTATCTATTTTGTTTTATATTTATTTTTCAGTATGTTAAATTCAGCAAATAAACAGTAATTGTGCATTAAATTATGCAGAGGTGTGTTCTCTGTAGAGCAGTGGTTCCCCAGCTGTGGTATGTGTATCCTCAGGGTAAAAGCCCAGTGACACTGAAAGTCAACACATTCTGACGTTAACCTTAACCATTTTCATTCCATCAGCCGGCTGTGCAACCACACAGGTAGTTCCCTGACATGAGCGACGCTAACAGCATCGTGCACACAGCAGACAGCACACTCATGATAGTTTGGTATTAGTAGTTTACTTTGTTGTAAAAGTTTGTGGTGAAGAAAAAAGCATTTCACTCCGGTTCCTTCTGAGCGCAGCACGTTCAGGAGAAACTAACGACAGTGGAGTTCATTCAGTTCATTGTACTCTGTTGTGTGCATGAATTAAGTGATTATCTTTTACTAGCTGCTGTTAAGGCCTGTGTGATTCTTGTTCATCCAGCTCTCACAGAAAATCTACACCGTTTCTCCGCCCCCACCTGCAGTCTGAACACTTTGTCTCGCACCCAGCTGTAACCTAAACACTTTGTCATACTCACCTGCAACCTCAGCATTTTGTTCTGTCCGCAACCTAACCGTTTTGACCTGCTCTCACCCGCAACCTAACCATTCTGACCCGCTCTCACCCGCAACCTAACCATTCTGACCCGCTCTCACCCGCAACCTAACCATTTTGACCTGCTCTCACCTGCAACTTAACCATTTTGGCCTGCTCTCACCCGCAACCTAACCATTTTGACCTGCTCTCACCCGCAACCTAACCATTCTGACCCGCTCTCACCCGCAACCTAACCATTTTGACCCGCTCTCACCCGCAACTTAACCATTTTGGCCTGCTCTCACCCGCAACCTAACCATTTTGACCTGCTCTCACCCGCAACCTAACCATTCTGACCCGCTCTCACCCGCAACCTAACCATTTTGACCTGCTCTCACCCGCAACCTAACCATTTTGACCTGCTCTCACCCGCAACCTAACCATTCTGACCCGCTCTCACCCGCAACCTAACCATTTTGACCTGCTCTCACCCGCAACCTAACCATTTTGACCTGCTCTCACCCGCAACCTAACCATTTTGACCTGCTCTCACCCGCAACCTAACCATTTTGACCCGCTCTCACCCGCAACCTAACCATTTTGACCCATACTCACCCGCACCCTAACCATTCTGACCGCTCTCACCCGCAACCTAACCATTCTGACCGCTCTCACCTGCAACCTAACCATTTTGACCCGCTCTCACCCTCAACCTAACCATTTTGACCCGCTCTCCCCTGCAACCTAACCATTCTGACCCGCTCTCACCCGCAACCTAACCATTTTGACCCGCTCTCACCCTCAACCTAACCATTTTGACCCGCTCTCCCCTGCAACCTAACCATTTTGACCCGCTCTCAACCGCACCCTAACCATTTTGACCCATACTCACCCGAACCCTAACCATTCTGACCGCTCTCACCCGCAACCTAACCATTTTGACCCGCTCTCACCCTCAACCTAACCATTTTGACCCGCTCTCCCCTGCAACCTAACCATTTTGACCCGCTCTCAACCGCACCCTAACCATTTTGACCCATTCTCACCCGCACCCTAACCATTCTGACCCGCTCTCAGCCGCAACCTAACCATTTTAACCCGCTCTCACCCGAGACCTAACCATTTTGACCCGCTCTCACCCGCAACCTAACCATTTTGACCTGCTCTCACCCGCAACCTAACCATTTTGACCTGCTCTCACCCGCAACCTAACCATTTTGACCTGCTCCAGCCTGCAACCTAAACATTTTGAACTGCTCTCGTCCGCAACCTAACCATTTTGACCTGCTTCTGCCCACAACCTAAATGTTTTGACCTGCTCCCACCAGCAACATAAATGTTTCGACCTGCAACCTCAGCATTTTGTCCCGCCCACAACCTAACCATTTTGACCCGCTCTCACGCGCAACCTAAGGGTTTTGACCCTCACCCACCTGTAACATAAACGTTTTGACCCGCTCCTACCTTCAACATAAAGGTTTCGACCCGTTCCCGCCCACAATCTAAACGTTTTGACCCACTCTGACCCTGGAGAGGACTAAGGTCAGGATCACAAACATAGCATAACACAATAACTTTCATAGCATAACATGAATATAAACATTTAGTAGAGGATTAGTAAAAGGTTCAGTAAGGCTGGACGTACCGACGGCCTCTTCCACACCACTTTGGCCATGTCACTCTGGGACAGCAGGCCCGTACCGATGGAGCGCTTCTCTGGAGGAAACGTCTCATCGATGAACTTGATTTGTTTGTTAATGTAATCCTGGCACAGCTTCTGGAAGTCCTGACCCTGGAACTTCACAGGGTCACTCGGAGACCCTGCGGAGTCCTTCTTGACCCGCTTGTTCTTGGGAGGCATCTGTGGACGTCTGGTCAGAGAAAAACAGCAATGTGAAGAGGGTATCACCTGTTCAGTTACAGCGTCCTGAAGGAACGAATCAGCCTAACATCCCAGCAAAGTTCACTGAATGTAAAGGTTTTCGAGATGATAAGATATTTTTATAAGCAGCTTCTTTAAAAATGAAAAAGAAAACTTTGTTTTCAGCACAAACTGTTTACAAACAATGCAGCTGAAAGTGGAGCGAGTGTTACAACGTTAACTGAGTCAACAGAGTTAAACGTAACAGAAACGTCTGATTAATTGATGTGAATGCAGTTGATTGTTTCAACCAGACAAGCGTTAAAATACGGCAATTACTTTATGTGAACCCTGCTATATAACACTGACACGATCTTTCGCTTACTGTAGGGGTCTTCCACCAGTGTGGAGGCTGTACTTCAGCCTGACTCGCTCTCAGAGGCACTTATGATGAAAAAGAGTTACTTTTACAGCATAAAACAGACTTCAGGGTGACTCTGCAGAACCATCTGTCTGATTGCTGTGAAAACTCACAGATGACGTTACTATGAGAACATGAGAACATGAGAAACTGACCCAAAGCATGTTCGACTTAAAAATCTACACTTTACCCTGGATTAGCTCTCCTCTACTCATTCATCGTACTCTGCCCATTCAAAGTTTGGGGACTTTTCTCCTTCTCAAGTGTAGTGTTTTTTCAGTCATATTGACTGATTTTCATCCATCCATCCATCATCTAAACCGCTTATCCTTCTGGGTCACGGTGGGATGCTGGAGCCTATCCCAGCTGTCATTGGGCGGAAGGCAGGATACACCCTGGACAGGTCGCCAGTCCATCGCAGGGCAGACAGACAGACAGACATACACACTCACACCTAGGGGCAATTTTAGTATGTCCAATCAGCCTGACTGCATGTTTTTGGACTGTGGGAGGAAACCGGAGTACCCGGAGGAAACCCATGCAGACAGGGGGAGGACAGGCAAACTCCACACAGAAACGACCCTGGTCACCCGGCCGGGAATCGAACCCAGACCATTCTTGCTGTGAGGCGACAGCGTTACCCACTGCACCACCGTGCCGCCCGGACTGATTTTCATTTTTATTTTATTTTTAACAAAGTAAAGCTTTAGTCTATCATAAAGCAGCTCTGTGCTAATCCTTTTTGGTACAGTAGTATGCAAAAGTTTGTGCACCCCCCAGTCAAATGACAAGTTGTGTTGATTTTCTAAGTGAAAATAAGTCAACACACCCTCTACTGGATTTCAGCTCAGTTTAAAACACTGTTAGCTCTACTGCACCTCTCTCCTCTAATGGCACTCTACTGTTCTCACTTGTAATGTATATTAAAATTTATTCTTTTACCCGATTTTCTCCCCCATTTAGTCGTCTCCAATTCCACCCGCTAGTTAGGACTCCCCCAATCACACGATGCTATCAGCGCTAGGAGGGTGAAGCGCTAGGAGGGTGAAGGCTAACACAGGCTTCCTCCGAGACCTGTGAAACCAACCACCGCTTCTTTTCGAGCTGCCGCTCACGCAACGTCACTGGACAGCTGAACGCGCTCGGAGGAAAGCGCCAACCGCCAGATCTGTTACGACTAGCATCGCGCTGAGTGATGGGGGGGGGCATCCTGCCCACCCAGAGAGAGCGAGGCCAATTGTGCTCTCTCGGACTCCCGGCTACGGACGGCTGCAGCATCACCAGGGACCGAACTCGTGATCTCCTGATGAGGGCCAACGCTTAGACGGTTGCGCCACTCGGGAGCCTCCAAATTTCTTTTTTTTTAAATCTGTTGTTTTAAGTATGTTTTTAATTTTTATTCTTCTTTACTTTGTGTACTTTTTTATTTTTTTATTTCAATTATCTTTGTATTTTCTCATTTGTAAAGCACTTTGAGTGACCGCAGTGTATGAAAGGTGCTCTATAAATAGCCTTGCCTTATAGAGAACTGCTTATTTTAAGGCACAATTACTGTTTCTATGCTGAATTTGAAACATGTTGAGTAAAATAATGGTTCTTTAGGAACTATTTTGCCTCACAGCGCCCTGCATATTATATGTCATGAATGGAGTTCTATGTTTTGGGCCAAAATTTTCTTAAAACTATCATAAAACAGTGTCTCAGTCATCAGGCAGTGAATTCATAACCATTTACTGTAGGAACTTTCTGTGAGGGAGCTTTTAGAGGTGGACGTCTGGTTCCTATCACCACCACTGTGAACAGTTCTGACTCGGTATGTTTCTCTAGAAGGGAGCGTTTCACACCAAACCACTCTGAACCACTCTGAACGACTCTGAGCCGCTCTGAACCACTCTGAACCACTCTGAACCGCTCTGAACCACTCTGTTTACATCTTAAACACTTAATTATTCTGAATTTAGAAAAAATGGTGTCTCCAAATGTAAATAAATACTGTTTGAATAAACAGGGGGAGCAACAGATGGAAAGAAAACAGATGGCTAATAAAGATAAAGTTTAGTCTATATTTATATTCAGCTTTACCACAGGAGCTGCTGAGCCTGACACAACGGCCATAGACATGTGACCCTTTATCAATATGCCACAGCATTGATCTTAGACCTCGATTTGAGCAACAGAAGAGCCTGAAATCTCTGTTTCTCTGACACATCAGTGGGAAACACCCTCACAAAGGAAAACTACAGAGGATTAAGGCTCGTCTTTGTTTTTGTATCTGTATGTCGTAGCCTCCTGTGTATGTGCACTGGTGTGACTGTTAGTCTGCTTACGGAAGAGCTGTAACAAACAGAGGCGTGAAGCGCAGCCTAAACCCACCCTTATTACGTTAGTGAAATAGTGACGCAAGTAGAAGAAATAGCTACTAAAACTAAACTATAGTAAAAAAAAAACAGAATCAAATCAGGTTTCTGTAACAGAGCTTCACTGGAACCTCTCAGTCCATCCAGCACCTCTTAGCAGAGGAACTGAAGGAACTGTACGACTCTTTTCTTCTCTTTTTGGACCATTTTGGTGTAAAATAAAACACTAAAGCTCCAGAGTGAGAAGAGAGATCAGCAGTAAAGCAGAACAGGAGCTGAACCGATACAGCAGAACCACATTAAACCCAGAAAAGAGAACTAAATATTACTGACTAAAAAAGTAGATTAGTAGAAGTAAATAATACACTTGGAAAAGATGGTTCCTCATGGGTTCTTTAGTAAAGAAAATAGTTCTATACAACACTAAAAGGGTTCTTCTATTGTTACGATGTCAAGCTTGTAGCAGAACCCTTTTGGGTGCTATATGGAACCATTTTCAAAAAGGTTAGGGTAAGAACCTTCGACGATGGAAAGAATCATTTAATCATGGAAAGCGTTTGTTCATGGCTCTATATACACTGCAAAAAACAGTATCTTGTCAGGTAAATTTTTTAAATTATTTCCAAACATTTTTAGTTGTTTTTTACTCACTTTTCCTAATTTTATTCAGTAAAATGGTCTCACTATACTGATGATTTTGCTTGTTTTAAAAATGAGCTTGAAGCCAGAAAAAATTATCTGCCAGTATAGTGAGACAATTTTACTCAATAAATTTACTTAAATACGTAAGAAAATGTTGAGAAATAAACTCAGTAATCTTATAATAAGTGCACAACTATCTCAAAATAAAAATATTAGACATATCAACTAGAATTAAGATAATTTCACTGGACAAGGTGTCTAGAGCCATGTTCTTTACTAAAGAACCAGCTTTTTTAAGAGTGATAATTATTTTAAGACATACTTAGAAAAGTCAAATCCAGTAAAATATAATGTAACTTCATAAATAATTGTAAGTAGTTGTTACTCACCTTTGCAGATTGATTACAGTCCTACAGTAAACAGGTCTGTTCAGCTGGAGGACGGTAAGTTTCTTCAGTCAGTCGTTTGTCAGTGCGGCGGTGAGATGGGGGGAAGCTTCATTCTTCACAGTGAGTCCTTCAGAGAGTCTGAACTGAGGGAGTTTTCGCCTCTGGCTGTGAAAGCTGAAGTTCACACGGGTTCACAGAGAGGAGGGGTTAGTTAAGGGGCTAGTTAACGTTCCAGAAAGTACATGTTTAAGAGTTTAAAGAGTTTAGAGTTTTTATTGAAAGTGGAGTTTATTTTGAATGTTTATGTTAATAGTAAGTTACAGTAAATTAGATCTGAACTAAGAAGAGTTTATAAGTTTCAATGTGAAGAATGTAAATTTTAATGTTTCTGTTGAAAACAGAGTTGAGAGTCTACAGACAGCACAATTGAACATTTCTACTGAAAGAACAATTGAAAGTTTCTACTGAAAGTTGAATTAGAGGTTTCTACTGAAAATAGAGTTGAAAATTTTTACTAAAATAGTTTCTACTGAAAGTAGAATTGAATGTTTCTACTCACATTAGAGTTGAAAATGTCTACTGAAATTAAAATTGAGAGTTTGGACTGAAAAAAGAACTCAAAGTTTCTATTGATGGTAGAATTAAAGGTTTGTTTAGAGAGTAGGGTTGAATATTTCCACTGAAAGAAACTGAAGGTTTCTAAAATTCAATTAAGATTCCATTGAAAATAAGATTGCACATTTTTACTTAAAGTAGAAACAAAAGTTTTTTTATGGAAAGTAGTGTTGAAAATGTATTGAAAGTAAAATGGAGAGTTTCTACTGAAAGAAGAAATAAAAGTCTCTAATAAAAGTAGAATTGAAGGTTTGAACTGAGAGCTGAACATTCCGACTGAAAGAAGAATTGAAAGTGGAGTTTATATTGAATGATTCTATTGAAAATAGAGTTTACATTGAATGTTTCTATTAAAAGAGTTTATATTGAATGTTTCTATTAAAGTACAGTTTATATTAAATGTTTTTTATTAAAGTATGTCGAAGGTTTCCATTAAAAACAATTTATATTGAATGTTTTTACCGAAAGTAGAGTTTACATTGAATGTTTCTATGGAAAATAGAGTTTATACTGAATGTTTTTGTTAAAGCTAAATTTCTCTGCTTACTAGAGGTGCAGAAAAGCTAAACTTTCTGTTGAATGTATTTAAAAAAAAAGTACATATCACATGAGCTGATGTTGACATAACCCCTACTATCCCATACTAAAAATCATGTTTTTCCCCTTTTCTGTATTTTAATATTTTATACTAATGTTAAAACCTTTTTCTCTGTTCATTTTGCTCATGTTACTGTTTGATATCTGGTGTTGACCAGAGGAGGACGGGTTCCCCTTTTGAGTCTTGGTTCCTCTCAAGGTTTCTTCCTCTTGCTCTTAGGGAGTTTTTCCTGCCACTGTCGCCACTGGCGACACTCATGAGGGTTTGGACCCGGATTTTTCTTAAAGCTGCTTTGTGACAACACCTGTAAAAAGCACTATATAAATAAACTTTGACTTGACTCTGTCTGCACTCATAGTGCCCTTATCAAGCCTATGAGCTACTCTATCAAATTAAAGAGAGAATCTGAGGCACAAGGGACCTTCAGTCTTACTAAATACTAAATGCACTCTGAAGACTATAGAGGCGATTAGAAATTAAAATAGAAAATAAACTCAAAACAATTCAATGAAAAAAGCGTCTTTATAGAGCTACCTGATGGACGCTCGTCTGTGGCTCTGGAGATAACGTGCTCTGGCAGGGAACTGGACTGGCCGGCTGAATTACTCTGATAAACTGCTGCAGGCTGATAATCTTTATTTAAGTTCAGTGGGCGAACGCTACACACCCAGACATTTCATTACAGACCGAACACTGTGAAAAACAAATCTCACTCCATTACACAGTTTTTATAGAGTATGTATCTGTATGGAACAGAACAAAGACCACCTGCTTGTAGAAAGATTTACATTAATATTACTATTTCCACAATTTAGAATAATGATGAAGGCATGAAAACCCACACGGAATTAAATGTGAGCAAGAAAGTGTTAAACAAATCCAAACTGTCTTCTATTTTAGATTCTTTGAGAAAAGAGCTCCCGTTTTGCCTCGACGCAGCTCAGTGTTAGAATTATGGAGGAGTTTAGGGGGAGCTTAGTTTTCCCAAAATAAACCTGAGCTACCTTTAACAAAACAAACAAACAAACAAACAAAACAATCGGAAGTTAAATAAAAAAAAATTTCTGAGGCCGTTTGGTCCGATGGCACTTTGGTCTCATGTTCAATTACACCACATCTGAGACATGACGATGGTTTTGCAGAGACTCAAAGTCGTTTATTCCGAGGAATGATCCGTTCTGTCTGATGGATGTCTTAAAATGTATACCATAGCCCCGCCTAGTGCTAATTAACATATGTTGAAAACAAAAAAGCAAAGTGGAAAATGAAAAGTAAATCACCAGCAGGTGGCGCCTGTGTTCGTTTCTGTTTGACTTTTCATTCTGACATTTAAAGTGCATCGACGGTGAAAAGTGAATCATAAACTGTCACTTTGCTGTTGATTTATCCATTTTGCATTTTCATTTTGTCAGATATGCAGCCGACTGCCATGAAAAAGAAACACGAACGTAAACATTGTTTTTTGATTTTGGTTTTGACACATATTCTGCATTTCATGAAGAAAAGGCAAAGCCAAGTGAAGCTTAGATTTTCTTTTCTCTGTTAGCTTTTCCATTTTAGATATTGTTACGTGTAAGAACGTATTCTGATTTTTTTTGTGTTTGTGTCTCTCTCCCTCTCTCTTGGTCTCTTCCTTCATAGAGGTACCTGCTCTGGAACCAATCAGAGGCCTGGCTGGTGCAGCTAGGGGAGGAGCTTATGTTTTAAAAGAGGCCTTCAAGATGGCCGAAGAGAGAGGACTGATTACGTGTGCTGTTTTAGTTTGTGTTTTAATCTTTTGTGTTGGGGGTGCTTGTTTTAGGTATTTTACCAGAGCTTCTTTTAACTTAGTTGTAAGACGGTCTTTTATGTTAGAGGAAGTACTTCAGCTGTGGTATCTTACCTGCACGCTTTTAACTTTGTTTTACAAGAGATTGTTTGTACCACCTGGGGTTTCAAACAGGTAAGAGGGGCGCGCCTATACATTTGCACCACGTAGATGTCTACTCTGTCTAGCTCCGTAGGTCAGAGGGCACTGCCACATGTACTTTTGGTTACTGGCAAGGGAAGTTTAGAGTAGTTAGCTTTGTTTCCTTTTTTTAGATTAGCTAAATACTTTTGGTTTCAGAGTAGATAAGCATGGTTTGGTTTTGATCTGTTCTTTTCTTTGGTGCCGTCCAGTTTGATTCTTCCAGTGTGGTACTCGGTATCACAGCACTCTGGTTTTATTCATGTTTGTTTTAATAAAAATGGCTTTAAAAGCTCTATTTTGGTCTGTTCCTCACGCTTCTAATCAATTCTCACCAGTTCAGTATTTTAATGCCACGTTACCGATCCCACATACCCTAGACAAAACGTGGGGTCGTAACAATATGGCCACGAAACACCAGAATAACGACTAAAATGAAATGACAAATAGCCATTTTAAATGTATTTTTATTTTTGTCACAAATAACTCATATGTGAGCATATGTGGAAAAAATAAATTGCAAATGTAGTTATTTTATTTCATTTTTTTAAATTTTGGCAGGGTATTTGTGCAGATGTTTGGGAAAAAGAAAAGACAAAAAGAGGTTTGCATTTACATTTTATTGTTTTAATTCTAATATATTTTTAGCTGGATTTTCCTCCTATACTAAATGGGTTTGGCACCACCAACTGTTTGGTCAGTAAAATGCAGCCCATCTTAATAAGGCAATCATGGGAAACTCTAGGCAAAGCGTTGCAGTGGGTAAGTACTGCTCCTGACTGTGACCCAAGAAAAATTAAAATAACACTGTAAAGCGCAGTAATATCCTGCGTTGGCTGAAATATTTAGAGTTAATACCCCATAGAGACCAACATGCCGAAGTTGGGACTAGCAGACTCAGCTATTTCAGTCATTTTTATTGTTTGAGCTGGACAAGGCAATGCTAAGTCTAGCTTGTTTTGTTTAGACAGAAAAGCTGACCAAATTATGAATAAAACTACATCTTGTGGTTGCCATGCTAAAGGTATGCTAAAGTGTATTTCACTCTATTCATTGTTTAATTTGAACTATAATATGTTGTATAACCCCAATTTTACTGTTGTGAACTGCAGCTACAAATTAGCATGCTTGGGGGGGGGGCGCTATTCATGTAGACATCAGTATGTAGGAATATAATCAATTAACCATGTATAATATATCTAATATTAATGATATTAAGAACTGTTCACAGTGGTGGTGATAGGAACCAGACGTCCACCTCTAAAAGCTCCCTCACAGAAAGTTCCTACATGAAATGTATATGAATTCACTGCCTGATGGCTAAAACACTGTTTTTTAGAGTTCACTGAAATGCCCTGAAATATCCTCAAAAAATAATAATGGCAGCATTAAATGAAGCAGCAAAAAATTCAATAGAGACTCTACATCAGAATGAACAAGACTTACTCTCTAATATTTTTAGAGCACAATCACAATTTTCTAAGGGACAAAAATAAAATATAAAATGTGCCATAACTTTTGCACCAGGGACATTCTGTTTTCTCCAGTATGTTAAAATCAGTAAATAAATAGTAACCATGTATTAAACTGTGCAGAAGTGTGTCTCTGTACAGGATGTGTAACTAATTAACACTAAGAAAATCAACACAAAAGGGAATTTTCACCAGGGTGCACAAACTTTGGCATACGACTGTCTCTAAGACATAATATAAAGCCTTCAGTTTTCACAAAAAGCTGCTGCCAGCTACTTACACAAGAACACCTACGCTTACTTAGATCCTGCACATGCTCGCAGTGCCACCTGCTGGCCACTCCAAGCACTAACATCATTTAAAGGGTTAATTTCAGAGAAAATCGTGTTTTCTTCGTTTTTTTTTTTGTTTTTTTGTTTTTTTTTTGATAAATAAAGTGTTTGCTGTAGTATATAAACACTGATATACTTTCAGTTCATGCAGCCCCTATGTGGAAACTAGGCTTTACAATGATTACTGGA